ACGAATGCCTTTAATGACACTTTGGTTTTAGTTTTGATTTTGATTTAGTGTGAATTACACGAGTGAGTAACCTTTTACCCTTTCCTTCTTGTAGTGTGAATGTTGTTTTGTCTCGAGAGAAAAATAGGTCCAACACAAAGTAAGCCCACTCCGCTAGAAACTGTGTTAAAAAAAAATTTCGAGAAGAAAAATAAAAGGAAAGTCATTAAATCACCAAAACTTACTCTATTAAAATGCATGTTACAGAACCTTAAGAAAGGTTTTGCAGAGGATTACAGAGTTAAGTTAACCCCCCAGAGGTTAAGAACTCTGTGTGAATTAGAATTGCCCTCTTTTGGTGTTGGATGGCCCACCGAGGGAACTATAGACAGGGAACAACTGGCCATGTATTTAAGGTGGTGACAGGGGTTGGAGGACAGCCAGTGTACCTAGATCAATTCCTTTATATTGATTCGTGGTTAAATATAATATAGACAAAAATCGGCATAAATTTAGCCCTGTTTAACAGCTTATTGCAAAAAAGCTAAAAGTGAAAGTAAGAGCAGCTTCGCCAGCAGACACAGAGTTAAACAAGGGAGTCCTAGAAACAGCAAGAGAAGCCAGTTTTGCAGGAGCCACCAGAGATAACAGAAATTCTTTCTCCATATGTCCCAGCTTACCCTCCTTTAGCAAGGCCAACAGTCCCCCAAGAAATGAGATTCAGGAGCTAATACGCCCCAGGTTTCACCTAGAAGGGGAGGATCGGAGTCTCGAGAGGCCAAGTAAGGAAGTCAAGATAGTCAAGTGGACAAGTGGACCCTCTCAGATCTGGTCTTGCTCGAGCTATGCAGATGCCTCTCAGGGAGACGCGGGGACCTGTCTATTATAATGACCAAGCCCACATCGGGGGGTGGGGTGGCAGACTTTCATCTCTCAGCGCTTTTCAACCATTGATCTACTAAACTGGAAACACCCTGAACCCACCACCTTGCTCCCGGCAGCTAGAGCCCCGTCGAGCATGACTGTGTAGAGGTGTTGGACTCAGGCAGACCCGACCTCCGGGGCCAGCCTTGGGCATCGGTAGACTGGGAGCTATCTGCAGACAGGAGCAGCTTCAGCAGCCCACAAGGACAGAGACGTGCAGGATATGTGGTGATAACCCTGGACACTGTTGTTAAGCTGAGTTCATTGCTTTAATTCGGGCCTTAGAACTCAGTGAAGGTAGGACTGTAAACATTTACACTGACTCTCGGTATGCCTGTTTAACCCTCCAAGTGCATGGAGAATTATATATATATAAAAAGGGCCTGTTAAACTCTAGGAAAAGGGGGAAAAAAGACCCAGAGAATGCAACTCAGCCTCAGCGTTTGCAGCGGTACCAAGAGGCACTTCTGCAGAGGCTGAGAGTTGGTAGAAAAAAGCAATTAATATAAAAAAGATTTCAGAAGCGCTTCAAGGAGCTGACAAGAACCTAAGTCAGTTTTATAAGAGACTCTGTAAAGCATTCTGGCTTTACAACCCATTTAACCCTGAGGCTGGTGGCTCACGCCTATAATCCCAGCATTTTGGGAGGCCGAGGCAGGCAGATCACAAGGTCAGGAGATTGAGACCATCCTGGCTAACACGGTGAGACCCCGTTTCTACTAACAAAACACACAAAAATTAGCCAGGCGTGGTGGCAGGTGCCTGTAGTTCTAGCTACTCGGGAGGCTGAGGCAGGAGAATGACATGAACCTGGGAGGTAGAGCTTGCAGTGAGCCGAGATTGTGCCACTGCACTCCAGCCTGGGCAACAGAGCGAGACTCTGTCTCAAAATAAAATAAAATAAAATAAAATAAAAATCAGCATATAGTGAATACTTCATTTGCAAAGAAAGCCCAGGGTAACATCAAGCAGAAGCTGCAGGCATGAATATCACCCAGTCTATAAAACTGGCCACCAAGGTGTATATTAACTGTGACCAAGGAACAAAACAGGAAAGAGCAAAAGCAACAAGCGTGGCAGGTAGGCACGCCAAAGGTTAAATCCCTCTCCCCAGCCCAGCGCTATCTAGAAAAAAAGAGGAGGCTAGAGACCAGCGCCAAGAGAAGAGCAAAACAAAAAGACTAAAACTAAGTGTAAAAAAGAGAATCAGAAGAAAACGGGGAGACAGACAGCAGTGCCCATGCCATTGCCCAGCCCTGCCAGTTGGCCATAGGAGCAGGAGAACTTAGGAAGGAAAAAGAAAAAGATTTCAGAAAAAAAGCCAATCTGTTAGCAACAGCTCTTATAAAAAGAGATTAGCAATGTGAGAGGACGTGGACGCAGATGTAGACGTTAGGCAAGGATTCAAGAGCCAGACAAAGCTAGAGAGAAAATAATGTGCGAGATGCAAAAAGAAGGGACACTAGAAGGGTGACTGTTCAGAAGGCAATAAAGGAAAGAGCCAAGGCTGCAAGACAAAGAGGCCATCAGCCAAGGACTGCTGCACCTTGGAGGAACCAAATACTGATCTGATCAGGCTGGCAGGAGCTAAAGAATGTAAAGACTAGGGCAGACTAGGCACCTTCTCATTAGGTTCCCAGGAGGCCCTGGTCACATTAGAAGTTAAAAAGCAGCAGGATTCTGCCACATCTGGATTCTAATTTCTCACTGATGGCTAAGCCACTAGATAGAGTCACAAAGGGAGGGAAGAAAAAGAACCCCTCCTCTAAGAAACTTAAACAGGAGAAAGAGCCATTCCTTGTGAAAACTTGCTTACAGACTTCACAGAACTGCCCCGTGCTGGAGGCTATTGCTACATCAGGGTAAGTTAAAGTTTTCCCCACCAGGACAGAAAAAGTACAAGAAGTGACTAAAGTACTGTTAAAAGACATTATCCCCAGGTTTAGACTGCCTCTAACTTTAAAGTCAGACAACAGGCCAGCCTTTGTACCAGAAATAGTGCAAGATTTAACAAGACTGTTAAAAATAAAATGGAAGTTACACACAGCCTATTGGAAGCAAAGTTCACGAAAAGGTGGAACATACGAACTGGATGCTCGAGCAGCTACTGAAAAAATATTGCCAGGAAATTCATTTAAGATAAAATCAGGATTTTGCCTATGATCCTCCTCCGAGTCAGATGCACCCCCACCAAACAAACTAGGTATTTGCCCTATAAGATTTTTTTCGGTCGGCCACCCCCAAATCATAGGTCAAATTAAAGGTGACCTCCAAGAACTAAAGGAATTAAACTTAAGAAAGCAAATGCAGGCCGGGCGTGGTGGCTCAAGCCTGTAATCCCAGCACTTTGGGAGGCCGAGACGGGTGGATCACAAGGTCAGGAGATCGAGACCATCCTGGCTAACCCGGTGAAACCCCATCTCTACTAAAAAATACAAAAAACTAGCCGGGAGAGGTGGCGGGCGCCTGTAGTCCCAGCTACTCGGGAGGCTGAGGCAGGAGAATGGCGTAAACCCGGGAGGCGGAGCTTGCAGTGAGCTGAGATCTGGCCACTGCATTCCAGCCTGGGCAACACAGCGAGACTCCGTCTCAAAAAAAAAAAAAAAAAAGAAAGAAAGAAAGCAAATGCAGACTTTAGAAATAGCCATTCAAAGTGTTTATAATTAAATACATAAAAATGCCTATAAGCCTGACACCCCTTTAAATCTAGTGACTCTGTTTAAGTTAGAGAGTAAAATCTAATTTTTCTAGGACCCATATAGGATGGGCCCTATACTGTAATCTTGTCCACTCCCACTGCTGTTAAAGTTGCAGGTGTTGTGTCTTAGATCCATCACAGTCAGTTAACACTGGCAGGTTAGGACAAGTAGACCAGCCAGCAGGATGCAGATCATCCAACCTGGCTGATCCTGAGATGAGACCAAGCTGCTGCTGGGACGACAGCCCTGCTCTGATCACTCCGGAGGCTGACCAGTCTACACACGGCTGAAGCTTGAGGAAACAACAAGCCTAGCTCTAGTCACACACCAGCAGCTGACTAGTCTGTGCTCGGCCGAAGCTTGAGGACTCATCGAGCAAGTAACTGTAGTTAAAAATCTTAAGACTAATAGTTTTCCTGTAATACTGTTTTCCTATTGTTCTGTCACTGCATTCAACCTTTTTCCCAGGTAAGGACCTCTTTCGTCCTTGCTGCATATAAATATGCTGTACATTGTTTTGTTGTTGTTACCCCCCATAACCATGCTACAAGAAACACCTATATAAGGTGTCCCCACTGTACACATACTAGTCAGGAAATCCAGACCCGTCCAGCTCAGCAACAATTCCAAGTCTTTAAATTAGTCTTTAAACATATAAACCAGAAGTTACCAGAGCCTCCTCCTTTAGCAAAAAAAATGATAATTAAAAAAAATAAATAAATAAAACCTATTTGCTCAGCTGGCTGAAAACACTGCCGGCAGCCTAGACGTTTCTTCATGTTATGTTCATAAAAAGGCTAATATGAGAGACCAACGGCCTTGAGAAGCAAAAGAGTTAATGCCTCAAGATAACTTTAACTCTTTCCCTAAGCAGACGCCAAGTTCAAGCATCTGGCTCTTAAAAACTTCTATTATTAAGAAATACTGTGTTGCTCGCTAGGGAAAAAGCTTTTAAGACCCAGTAAAAGAAGTAACCTGCTTAGGAAATGACAAAGTTGGCACATGTGCCTGTACAGGTTTAACACAGGTTTGATCCTAGGTCTTTATTTAGAAAATAGTTTCCAGCTATAAGAGAATTTAAAACCCTCATTGTAAGTGTATTACATAAAACACTATCACTCTGTCTCTCAAAGAGACTCAGAAAGTAAAAATAAAAGTGAGAACTCCCACTAATTAGTGAAATTCTCAAAGAGGGGGGATAAGAAAGGAGACCACTACTACTCCTGCTGCCCTCCTCCCTTCACACCTTGCCTAGTTTACAAGACAGGAGGAAAGAGAGAAAGCAAAAAGTTAGAAAGAAGCAAAAGTAAGATAGACAACCTTGGCACCACCACCCGGCCCTAGGAGTTAAAAAAAATAATAATAACATCAACCCCTGACCTAAACTACTTGTGTTACCTGTAAATTCCAGACATTGTATGAAAAAGCACTGCAAAACTTTCTGTTGTTAGCTGATGCATGTAGCCCCCAGTCATGTTTCCCACGCTTGCTTGATTTATCACGACCGTTTCACGTGGACCCCTTAAAGTTGTAAGCCTTTAAAAAGGCCAAGAATTTCTTTTTGGGGAAGCTTGGCTCTTAAGTCGCAAGTCCGCCGACGCTCCCGGAATAAACCTCTTCCTTCTTTAATCTGCTGTCTAAGGAGTTTTGTCTGCGCTTCTCCTGCTACAGTAGGTGACAGATGACCTTCATCCCTCATAGGACAACGTTACATCATTCTTATGAAACAGCCATGGCTGCGCTCAGATTTAGGAAGGCACTGACTGTAACGCTGGCACTAAGAGCAAACCAGAACCCAAGTGGAGAAAAGGGAGCTTTCATAAGAGGATTCATCTTCAACGCTCACAAACTTAGGCTCCCTGACTTTTATCGATAATCAGTACTGAGAACAATGCGTTCCAGACCCGCTGGCTGGCTGACGTTTGATTCTGTAACTATACCACTTCCAGAATTCTCTCAAAACTCAGCTCAGATCATATTACTATCAGGCAGCAATGCCCCTTGGATGGATCCACAGCGAATAAAACAAAGGTCAAATTCCTCATCCACACATTCCACAGTCCACAGGAAAGGAGCTCCAGCCCTGCCATTCTCATTTCAGGTCCCAGCACCCCGCCTCCATGACGTCAACGGGCCGCGCCACCGCGCTGCGTCATCTCGGCGCGCCGCTTCCAGGGCTGTACACCTACCGGCTGCCATGGCGGAGGTGGGCCGAGCAGGCATCAGCGACCCAGGCGCGCTGCTCCCCCGGGGCTTCTGGGCTGCGGTGGAGGTGTGGCTGGAGAGGCCGCAGGTGGCCAACAAACGGCTTTGCGGTGCCCGCCTAGAGGCCCGCTTGAGCGCTGCCCTGCCCTGCGCCGAGGCCCGCGGCCCAGGGACGAGCGCAGGCTCGGAGCAGAAGGAGCGGGGTCCGGTTCCCGGCCAGGGTTCGCCCGGAGGGGACACGGGTCCCAGGCTGCGATCAGAACCCAAGCAGGGCATGGCATGTTGCGAACTTGAGGAGGCCCAGGGCCAGTGCCAGCAAGAGGAGGCACAGAGGGAAGCCGCCTCGGCGGCCCTGAGGGACTCTGGGCACCCCGGTCATGCTGAAGGAGACGAGGGCGACTTCCCCGCCGCAGATCTGGATTCGCTCTGGGACGATTTCTCCCGAAGTCTCGCCCGTGGCAATTCGGAGATGCTGGCCTTCCTCACCTGCTCCGGGGCGGGATCGCAGCCAGAGGCGCAGCGTGAGCTCGACGTGGTTCTCAGAACCGTCATCCCGAAAACTAGCCCACATTGCCCCCTTACAGCTCCCAGGAGGGAAATAGTCGTGCAAGGTAAGAGTGTTTTGATAGTAGACGGATACGATTAGATAAAAAAAGCATTCACAGAACTTCAGGTCAATGGAAAGGTCCTAAGGGTACTTGTTATGCCAGTTGTTCTGCGATGTCCTAGGGAGTTTGTTAGGTGTTTGATAGTTTTTTGAGTGCGCGCATAGAAATGTGTGTCCTTAGTTCAGAAGATGGGATAATTGGTTGGGTTGGTGTCTGGAAGGCTTTAAAGAGACAGTGAAGGACTAACTGGATATTGCGTGATAACTAGGAGTTTAGCAGGTAAAGCTGTAGGTGTAAAAGTGTTGGGGACCAGCCTCAACACCATCTGCAGGGTACCCAAAGTCCGGTGGCGACGAAGGAATGAGACGAGACAGGTTAAGAGTGCATAAAGAGTGGGGGCCAGGGGGCCAATTGCAAAATGGAGGCTGCAAAAGACCCAAAGTTCTGGTCTCCACACTATTTATTGAGTACAGTCACTTAGATCTAAGAAGCGGACGTTCAGGGCGAAACGGTGAAAGGGAGGCAGTGCGTCATAGTAGTGGCGATTTAAATGAATCTTCTTTGTGCTCATACAGCATATCTTTAACTTATCAGAGAGCAACTAGTGGGAGCGGGGTTAACTAGGAGCCTGCATGTCTGGCCGCATTTCAGTGCTTCAAAGGAGTGTCTTTCTCCTTGAACACAGCGTTTGTAGATAAGACAGTAGGTCTCGCTCAGAGCATGGGAACGTCGTGGCAATCAGAAGGCTTTCCTCCTCAGAGGCCTCTTGTGGCTTTCCACAACTTATTGTCTCATATTTTTATGGCCAATTATACAGGCACCCCAAAAGCCTTTTCCCCAACATAAAGGGAGCTATTTATGCTAAGACAAGAAACTGAGAAAGAGCATAATTACTGGATGGATGGGAACCTACTAGTCCTCAGCGTTTGTTAAATCTCTCGCATTTGTTTTTACTGCCCGTGACCTTGACAGTTAGCCTCAGCCACTCTTACCTCAAACTTTATTCAGCAGTGCGTGTTTCCTATTGCCACTGTAACAAATTACTGCAAATTTATTGGTCAGTACAAAAAATTGATTGTTTCAGTTCTGTAGGTCAGGAATCCCTGTTGGCTCTGCTGGTTTCTCCGCTCCGGGTCTCTCTCACAAGGCCAAAATCAAACAGCCTGCCGGCTGGGCTCTTATTTGGAGGTTCTGGGAAGAAATCTGTGGCCAGGCTGGTCTTGAACTCCTCACCTCACATGATCCTCCCGTCTTGGCCTCCCAAAGTGGGGTTACAGGCGTGAACCACTGCGCCCGGCCATGATTGTACATTTTTAAATAACGAAAAGAGTGTAATTGGATTGTTTGTAACACAAAGGATAAATGTTTGAGGGGATGGAGGCCCTATTCTCCATGATGTGATTAGTTCACATTGCAGGCCTGGATCAAAACATCTCATGTACCCCATAAATATATGTATCTGCTATGTACCCACAAAAGTGAAAAATTTAAACATTTAAAAAATCGAAATTTGTCATTGTGTAGTGACAACAGTGACAGCAGATTTGGGGTTGCCACACTGGGTAGGGAGGGAGGGGATGCTGCTGGCATCTAGTGGGTAGGGCCAGGGGTTCTGGTAAACATCCTACAGTGCACAGCACAACTCCCAACAAGAAGGAGTTATCCAGCCACAAATGTTTGTCGCTGAGGCTGAGAAACCCTGATCCAGAGGATGGGGAAAATAATACTGGATGATAAAGATGTGAGTTTTATTTTACTTTACTTTTTGTATAAATAGGGTCTTAGTATGTTTCTTAGTCTGATCTCTAACTCCTGGTTTCAAGTGAGCCTCCCACCTTGGCCTTCCAAAGTGCTGGGACAACAGGCATGGGCCATAATGCCTAGTCCTCTTGCAGTTTTTAAATGAGATAATTAATGGAAAGAATGATGCATCGTGTCAGTCCTCTTCTCTCTGGTCTCATTCACAGTAAAAACTGTAGTTCTGTGAACTGCAAGGCCCTGTGTGACCTGGGTGGGCCCTGTTACCCTTTGATTTCACCTGCCACCACTTGTCACCTTGTCCACACGGCTCACCTCCATTCCCCATGCACCTGAGCACACGCCTGCCCCAGAGCCTCTGCAGTTGCTGCTCCTGCTCCTGTGTCTGGAACACTCTTCCTCTAGGTGCCCCATGGCACACTCCCTGACCTCCTTCGGCTCTCTGCTTAAATGTTACCTTATTAGGGAGGACTTCCCTGGCCACCCTGTATTCCATAGCGGTAGACTCTGGTTGTCGGAGTTTTCTCGGCCCCACACTGCTTGCTTTCCATCTGAATCCACTCAGCCCCTTCAGCCTCTGCTTCCCTTTGGCAGGTCTTGTTCTTTCATTTGCTGTGGAAGGTGAACCGCAGTTGTGCATACTTGGCCTGTGAAGTGTATATTCCTCTTTAACTGAGAGTTTGCCATTTTTTTTTAAATATCAAAGGTAAACACGATTGATTTTAGAGATAGAACTTTATACAACCAAACCTTAAGTATCCACACAAACTGACAGAATGCTGTACATTTAGCTAAGGAATATGCCACTCTGCTTATATTTTAATGGGAAGGTGACTGTGGAGTCCCTCCATGCAGCGAGGGCTCCACACAACACAAAGCCGTTGTTAGGAGGGCCTGGACTGATGTCCACTTTCCTGAACTGGCCTCTGATGGCTGAGCAGTGTTCTGTGCCTTGCTCACACTCGAAGATCGTGGTCAGGCTGTGGCAGACGTTCATCTAGGGCAGAGGTCCCCTGTTTTCTCTGATTGTAGCTCTCAAGTTCCAACAGAGTCCACGTTGGCTGGCTCTTCCCTCAGGTCCTGGCTCATGCGTCCCTCAACAGATACCTGTTGAGAAGGGCTGCCGTGTGCCTGGCACATTCTAGGCTCTGGGCTGTAGCAGTGAATGAAAGGCAACAGCTCCTCTCCTGGAGTGCCACTGTGGGTAGAGTGCTGGGCATTGAGAGCATCGTGCCTGACTCATCCCTATTTTTAATACTGCTTCTCATGAGACGGTAGCTAGGCAATTGTAATTTGTCCTTCTTCTCTTTTTCTTTCCAGATGTCCTCAATGGAACTGTAACGTTTTTGCCTTTGGAAGAAGATGATGAGGGGAAGTTAAAGGTTAAGATGAGCAATGTATATCAAATTCAGCTCAGTCACAGCAAAGAAAAATGGTAAGAGCTGGATAGTGGACTCCTAGTTTTATGGTTTCCATTGAGGATTTCTTTAGGTAGCCAAAGGATTCTGGGTTGCCAGAGAGCTTAAGGTCTTGTCTCTGAGGTGGTTATGGTTTGTAGGAATGCAGTTGCTAGCTCGTGTGCCCATGCCATGTTGCTCTTCCTGTTGGTGCCTCGAGTCTGGGTGGTCACAGCCTGGCTGGGGTCTCTGATCTCTACCTTCCCTGTGGCTGTGATGTTCAGCAACCCTCAGTGTTAGCTCTGAAGTCAAATACACTCAAATTCCTTTATTGTTATTGTTGTTATTATTATTATTATTGAGACGGTCTTACACTGTTGCCCAGGCTGGAGTGCACTGGTGCCACCTTGTTTCACTGCAACCTCTACCTCCTGCATTCAAGTGATTCTTGTGCCTCAGTCTCCTGAGTAGCTGGGACTACAGGCACCCACCCCCACACCCAGCTGATTTTTGTATTTTCAGTAGAGAGGGGGTTTCGCCATGTTGGCCAGGCTGGTTTCAAACTCCTGACCTCAGGTGATCCACCTGCTTTGGCCTCCCAAAGTGCTGGGATTATAGGCATGAGCCACCATGCCCAGCCTATTTTGTTATTTTTTATGACTTAGTAATGGGGAATAGTTGATGCTTCCTTCTGTAGTAAGTATTCAGTGATACTTACTATAAAGCAACAGTTTAATAAGCACCCTTAATTCCATGTGGTATTTGGACCTGTACAGAAATTATGAAATTTAATTCATACTGCTTTTTGTTTTGTTTTGAGATGGAGTCTAGCTGTGTCGCTCAGGCTAGAGTGCAGTGGTGCGATCTCGGCTCACTGCAACCTCCGCCTCCCGGGTTCACGCCATTCTCCTGCCTCAGCCCACCGAGTAGCTGAGACTACAAGCGCCTGCCACCATGCCCAGCTAATTTTTTATATTTTTAGTAGAGACGGGGTTTCACCGTGTTAGCCAGGAAATGGTCTCGATCTCCTGACCTCATGATCCACCCGCCTCGGCTTCCCAAAGTGCTGGGATTACAGGCGTGAGCCACCGCGCCTGGCCTTGATCGTTTGGTATTTTTAAAACAAAAAAGTCAGAGGAGGGGTGAATTCATTCATTACTCGTCAATTGATATTTTCCTGAGTGCGACATCCAACCTGTACTTTCTGAAACAGTCTTGGGGATAACGTCTGAGTAACTGGAATGAGTTTGCCCGGGGCTTCCTAGCAGGCAGAGGGGTGTGGCCAGAAGAGCGTGGGCTTCCCGCTAGCAGTGTGATCTTGGGTATGTGCTCTACTTCCTGGCCCTCCGTCTGCTCACCTTGAAATGGGTTTAATCATTCCTGAGCCTCTGAGGAGGTGGCAGGGCTGGGCCTCACATGGACCTGTTGCAGCCTTCGCGCTTGAAAAGGGCACTCAGGTCCTGTAGCATGAAGCGCTTTGAGAACCATCCAGAGGTTGCCCCTAGTTGTCAGGGGATCCTGCCCTGAGGTCCCTTCCTGCCAGCATGCCCTTGTTGGAGAGTGGGGAGGGACAGTAGACACTAGGAGAAGCCAGGCTTACCTGTGCCAGGCACCTCCGTGCTCGGTGATGCTGAGCTGTGTGCCTGTTAGCCCGAAGGTGGTGCCTGTCTTGGGTGCGGTGGGCACCTGGCGCAGGGCGGGGTTGCAGGAGGTGCTCGGCATGTGCCTGCTGCATTGGAGTGACCTTCACTGCTCTTTGATGAGCTACCGAGGACATGGCTGCTGCCCCTGCCTTCCCAGGGTGGCATTTCTAGTCGTAGCCTCACCAGGCAACTGTTCCTCGCAGTCTCTGGGCACAGGCCACACTTGAGGGGCCAGCTGTGTTGCCTTCTGAGTTGAACACAAATGAGGGGCTCCACTGCTGATGTGTGTGCTTCCTCGCAGCTCGATGCGTTTTCAGCGACTTTGGTTACATGCCCAGCTTGTGCTGGGGCTGGGCACCCAGCGGGAAGCGAGTCTCCTGGGGCGGTGGAGAGTATCTGCTCCCATACCATGTGGTGCAGGGAGGAAAACAACCGAGCAGGACTGTGTCCGCTCATTAGAAGTGGCAGTGTGTGGCCAAGGTATGTGGGAAGACCTCTGAGAAGGGACATGGAAGAGAGGCGGATGAAGGAGGCGGCCATGTGGACCTCTGGGGGACCCTGGGGAAGAGCACGAGGCCCAGGGAAGAGCGAGGAGTGCCCCTTGGGCAGAGTCTGTCCGCAGCGCGCAGGGGCCACCAGAGTTGGCGTCAGGCCCAGCAGGAGCGCTTCTGACTGAGCGGGACAGACCCCACAGTCCCAAGGAAGGAACTGGGCCAGGGGAAAGGTTCAGACCCACTCTGGGGTCACTCTCTGGAGAATCTTCTGGAAGTGACTTGTGTCCCTCTGAGGCACCATGGCGGCAGAAAACCTGGACACCACAGCGCTCACCGGACGGACCACAGGCCATCGTCCCTGCACCAGGGCCGTGCTGCTGCTGCGCCCTCAGCGCTCCTGTCAGGCCCTCCGGCTCTTCCCCGCTCACCCAGTGGCTGGGTCTGCTTGTTCTCAGGAACGTCCATTGAATGACGCTTTTATGGTAGCTTTCTCTCATCTGCCCAGCAAACTTAATGCCCTCCCCTTCCTTATGCTGCCCCAAATGCAGCCCTTGGGCAGTGTATTGTTATCTGGGCTCGTGTCTGTCCCACCAGTCCTCCCAAGGATTGTGAGCTTTTACTCATGTATTGAATGCATCCATGAACAGTGCCTGCCGTGTGTCAGCACTGCTGGGACCGGGGTGCGGAGCAGTGAGCTAGACAGACAGAAGCCCTGCCCTCGTGACCTTCTGATGGCAGAAGACATGTGAAAGGCAAAATAAGCCAGCAAAATGCACAGCGGCCTGTGGCTGAGCACTTCACTTTCTGGCAAGTAGCATTCAGTGAGCCAGTGTACTCATTTGAGTTGCACGTGTGAAAATGCGTAAAGAAATGTTAGGAAAATCCTCGGACGCTTAGACTCTGGCTCCTTGTGCATGAAGCAGCAGGCGAGAGTCCTTTATTTGTTCGGCTGCCTCAGGGCTTCACGGGTGTGTAAGTATGTTCTTAACAAAGTTTGCAAGAAAAGAGGATTCTCTGTGCTTTTTACATGTTTTTCTCTATTAGATGAAAGTTCTATAACTAGTTCTAGTTCCTTTTATGTTTTTGGTAATATAATTATAGATGTCTTAGCTTCTGTTCTCTTCATTAGGTAGATAGATAATTTTAAAATAAGAATTAAACATATCTGTGCTTATTCATATTTCTCTTATTTTTAAAGGTTCATATCTGTTTTAATTTTCTGTCCAGAAAGATGGCATTCAGATGGAATTGTGTATCCCAAACCCACGTGGCTTGGAGAAGAGTTGCTGGCCAAGTTGGCCAAGTGGTCTGTAGAGAACAAGAAGAGTGACTTTAAAAGCACCCTTTCCCTTGTCTCCATTATGAAGTATAGCAAGGCTTACCAGGAACTTAAAGAGAAGTATAAGGAAATGGTTAAGGTAATTTTGGTGGAGAGTGTCTGTGATTTTTCCCCCTTCATGGTTTTGGGTTTTTTTTGTTTTTGTTTTTGTTTTTTTGGTGACAGAGTTTTGCTCTGTTGCCCAGAAAAAAAAGGGCCAGAGTGAAGTGGCATCATCTTGGCTCACTGCAGCCTCCGCCTCCCGGGTTCAAGAGATCCTCCTGCCTCAGCCTCTCGAGTAGCTGGGACTACAGGCACATGCCACCACACCTGGCTAATTTTTTGTATTTTTATTAGAGATGAGGCTTCACCATGTTGCCCAGACTGGTCTCGAACTCCTGAGCTCAGGCATTTCGCCCGTTTCGGCCTCCCAAAGTGCTAATGTTACAGGCATGAGCCACCGTGCCCCACTCCCCCTTAAGTGAAATGAGGTAAAATAATCAAACTGCCAGGTAAAATTGTTTTTCCTGTTGCAGGCTGTACTCTGACGTACTTAGGGGTGCACACAACAAAAACATAGATACATAATGGAAAAGTATTGATCTTGTATATTATTTATTTTCAAGAGACCTAAAGGGAAATATTTAATTGAAAAGTAATGGAACCTTGAAAAAAAAATGGCTAAATTACCATAGTTGTTTGTATAAACCTAAAGATATTTTAAGAAAATATATGAAAAGTTAAAGTACAAAAGAGCAGTTCCCAAAAGGAGATACATTTCATGATAACATGCGCTTAAACTTTCTGAGACGTAAAAACAGCATAACAAGAAACATCTGTGTATGTATGCCCAGCTTAAGGCAGAAAGAAAGCATTGCTGGTAGAGTCAAAGCTACTTAATATTATTCCAAGTTCCCATCTTCCTCCCCCTCCAAGGAGTAACCACAATTTGTCATTTCCATGGTTTTCTGTTTGTTTGTGTTTTGTTTTTGAGACAGGATCTCACTCTGTCACCTAGGCTGGAGTACAGTGGTGCACCCACTGCAGACTCAACCTCCCGGGCTCAAGCGATTCTCCCAGCTCAACTTCCCTGATCGCTGGGACCACAGGCGCATGCTACCATGCCTGGCTAATTTTTTGTATTTTTTGTAGACACAAAGTTTTGCTATGTTTCCCAGGCTGGTCTCAAACTCCTGGGCTCAAGTGATCCGCCTGCTTTGGCCTCCCAAAGTGCTGGGATTACAGACATGAGCAACTGTGTCCGGCTTCCATGTATTTTTTTAATCAGTCACTTCTTGCTCTGTAACAAAAGCACCCCAAAAGTCGCAGGCTTAAAGCTGTGACCTTTCATTATTGCTGAAGCACCTGTGGGTTGCAGGGGTTGGCTGACTGAGGCTGGGCTCCCTCCTACATCCTGGCCTTGTGGCCCTTTGCCATCTTGTTAGCTATTTAGTACCATCCAGAAGGTACTTTTTGTTTTTCCAGCTTTTGAAATTGTTTCTAGTGAGACGGTTCATCTGGATTGTCTAAGGCACTGTGACTGGAAATATAAATTTCAGCTTTTAACATTGGCCATTGGTTTTTCCTCTTTTGCCTAATGCCAGTTCTGAACATGACTACTTTTAATAATGAGAGCTCAGTTTTGCACAGCTAGTGCTTTACGGTTTTCAGAGCACCTTGATTATCCTGTGTGTTAGTTGAGGCATGGGCTTTATTCCTGTTTGACAGGTAGGGCGACAGCAGCCACTGATGGACCAGGGGCTGGAGCACTGGTCTCCTAGTCCGTGGCTCGCGGCTTTCCCTGCCCTAGTTTCACTCCCGCCCCTCGTTTCCTTGTTCATTGCCCTCATCTGCATGGCCGGTGAGCACCATGTAGCTGCGCGTTTCCTGTGTCCACTGTCTCAGCTCAGCGCCTTAGGTGCATTCTGTTGATTGTGAAATCTTGCTGTGGATTGTAGTGTTCTTGGCATGCCTTATTTCTTTATGGAAATCTTTTTTTTTTTTTTTTTTTTTGAGACGGAGTCTCGCTCTGCCGCCCAGGCTGGAGTGCAGTGGCCGGATCTCAGCTCACTGCAAGCTCCGCTCCTTACGCATTCTCCTGCTCCGATAGCTGGATAAGGCCCCTCGCCCTTTTTTTTTTTTAGTAAGTTTCACCTTTGCATTTGTTCTCTTGATCTCCTCATCTTTACTTGAAATTTTTATTGTAAGAAACCTGTTGTGAATTCCTGCCTTTGAGCTTGTATTTTCTATTTTAATGCACGATTAGTCCAGTTTGATTTATGCTTTGTAGGGATACTTAAGTATTGGGAAATGGTGGTGGAAAAACCAAACAATTTACATTTGCTCTTGAAACTGTTTTAGGTGTGGCCTGAAGTCACCGATCCTGAGAAGTTCGTGTATGAAGATGTGGCTATCGCGGCATACCTGCTGGTAAGGGTGTGCGCAACCGTTGCTTCTCTGGAGCGGGTGGAGGTTGCTACAGGCAGATGTTCCCAGTAGTGAAGGACATTTTCCGAATCCGTAACAGCCGGTGCTCACAGTTCTGCTGGCCAAGGTTGGTTACCGATGTAACGGTTTGACTTCATATGGTCTTTTGATGCGTCTAGAACAAGTTTGGGTTGAAACTTGACCTCGGGTTCAAACTTGACCTGCAGGCGGAACTGTATGTCCACACTCAGCAGTCATCGTGGAGGCGCCGTCTGGCACAGGGAAGCACTGAGGAGCACGTGTCTTCCAGCCCTGGCCTAGAACCTTCTGGCCCTTTCCTCAGCTGGCTCGCTAGCTGGCTACATTTGGACATGCCCTCTGATTTAATCATCTTGGTTTACTTATCTATAAGAATGTTTAGAGCAAGCTAGGCTGAGGCGGGCAGATCACTTGAGGTCAGGAGTCTGAGACCAGCCTGGCCAACATGGTGAAACCCCGTCTCTACTAAAAATACAAAAATCAGTTGGGCTTGGTGGCGTGTGCCCATAGTTCCAGCTACTGGGGAGGCTGAGGCAGGAGAATTGCTTGAACCCAGGAGGCGGAGGTTGCAGTGAGCCAAGATCACGTCATTACACTCTAGCCTGGGTGGCAAGAGCAAGACTCCATCTCAAAAAAAAAAAAAAAGAATGTTTAATGTAGATAATTTCCAGTTTCCTTTCACTCAGAGTTTTCTTTGACCGGTTTGTGTCTGAATTATTCTTGTGTAGAGTGAATTACTACCTGACTTTGTTATGTCTTTCTCTTCACTTAGATTCTGTGGGAAGAAGAAAGGGCCGAGAGGGGACTAACTGCCAGGCAGTCCTTTGTGGACCTGGGATGTGGAAATGGCCTCCTGGTCCACATCCTGAACAGTGAGGGGGTAAGCCCGGCTCCCTCACCTTTTCTGGTAACTTGTCCAGAGTTTCCTCAGGTCAGGCACAGGGTTCATTGACATCTTTTTCTGCTGATACAGCCTGGATTTGGAGTTAGCCGGCTATCAGAGTAGGTAGGGACTTATAAATTTCTGTTAATTTGATAAACAGCTCGTAAAACAAAGGAAACGTGATAATCGAATTGGACCTAAGTGGAAGTCCCCAGGCCCCGGCGTGGACCTATAAAATGACAGGCTTTGAGTAGCGTGGATGTTTTTTTGCTGTCAGAAATTTCTTTTGAAACCCACCATCTCAAGGAGCTGGAGGGAGATAAAAAGCAAGGCAGGTTCTGCACTTTAGAAGCTTCAGGCCAGGCAGGGGGCTCACGCCTGCAATCCCAGCACTTGGCTGAGGTGGGAGGATCACGTGAGCCCAGGAGTTTGAGACCAGCCTGGGCAGCATGATGAAACCCCGTCTCTGCAAAAAAATAAAAAGAAATAAGAGAAGCTTCAGTTCTGGCTCGGACGGCCAGTCATGTATACACAGACAACAGTATGGAACAGTGTGGTGCTGGGTTTTGCCCCATTTTCTGGATGTTCAGCTGATGGAGTGAAACCAGTGTTGGGCTGAGAGCGGCACCTGCCCAGGGAGCACTGTCAGTAGGGGTGGGTCAGCTCTCAGTGGCTTGTGCCTGGAGCTTCCTGCCAGCAACTCGTACCCCTCCCGATGCGTCCAGCACACCAGGTGCCATTACCCCATGATACGATGGCGAGCTTAGCCACTTCCTGCTAGGGGCAACAGCTGGAACCTGCAGCCCAGTCTGGTGGTCCCAAGCTGATTTTCTTCCTGCTGTACTGTACAGTGCTGTACTGATGGGCTGCACATATTTGCCTACACCTCCAAGAGCCGGAAATGGTTATTACAATGCCCTTTTCAAGTGTGTTATTGAAGAATGAGTTTCTAATCATAATACCTGTAAGCTGGTTGTGGGGATGGTAGCATATCAGGTGGCGGCTTGGAAGCTAGTACCTGGAGACAGCTGGGAGGTGTCTCATGCACCCCTCCTCTTCTGCAGGCTTGGAATAAATAAGTTTGCCCTGTGAGAGCCAGTGAGGGTGGCCAAGGTGCAAGAAGAGCAGGTAGCTGACCTTGACTAAGAGCAGAGAATTGGCTCACGTTCTCAGGTGTGCTCCCTGGGGCACTGCCCTGGAAATGTTCCCACACTAAAGGCCACTGTGGTCACTCAACTCCATGGCCCGTTTGAAGACTCATAATGACCATTAGTGGAGTACGCCTTCTTACCTGCCTCGCAGGGGTGGGGGTGTCTGTTTCAGACAGCTGAGAAATCGTGCTTGTGCCATCCGTGAATGCTAATGACACACTTGGAAAAGGGCATTGTAACAACCATTTCCAGCTCTTGGAGGTGTAGGCAAATATCTGCAGCCCATCAGTACAGCACTGTACAGTACAGCAGGAAGAAAATCAGCTTGGGACCACCAGACTGGGCTGCAGGTTCCAGCTGTTGCCCCTAGCAGGAAGTGGCTAAGCTCGCCATCGTATTATGGGGTAATGGCACCTGGTGCGCTGGACGCACCGGGAGGGGTACGAGTTGCTGGCAGGAAGCGCCTCTTGCCCTTCGTCCTGCTAGCAGTGCCTGCAGAGCTTTACTGTGTTCCTGCTGACTTATTATGAAGCACTAAGCTTAGCCTTTGATTTCTAAAATTAATGTTTCCAGCATCCAGGCAGAGGGATTGATGTCCGGAGAAGGAAAATCTGGGACATGTATGGACCACAGACTCGGTTAGAGGTACCGTCTTTGTTATGCATGCCCTTGAGCTCAGCATGGCTTAGCCCCCAGTGGGAACTGCTGGCATGAATGTGTGTCTTTGTGTAGGTCAAGCAGACATGCTGATAGCAAACCTTCACATTCATCTAAGCGCTCTGAAATTAGAGAAGAAAGAAAGAAAGACGAAACTAGACCTTGCAGAGCTTTCTGGTTAAACTGACTGAAGGGCGCTGACCTCCAGGCGAAAGTGCTGTCTCTCCCTGAGTCTGTCGGTGCCATTTGTATCTTGTATGGGGTGCTCCCGTGCCGCCTTGAGGTGGGGGCCGTGCCCCGTGCCCTTTGTGAAGTCTTCTCCAAGGCCTCCCAAAGGCTGCTCTTTGCAGTCAGCAAGCAGTGACTACCATGCCTGGCAGGACTCCACCAGGATGGGGACACCTGCAGCTGAGCCACCTAGGGTGGTGGCTGTGCCAGGGCTGGATCGGTTTACAGGGCTGTGGGGACTCAGAGCCCTCTAAACCTTGACCCCACTCGGGGCCTCTGAGAAGGCTTCTTGGAGCACCCCCATGAGCAAATGGAGGCAGCCAGGTGCCCAGCATGGAAGTGAGATGCCCCGGTGGGATCACCTCCGGGCACACGGATGATGTGCAGGGCAGACTGGGCGGCCCCACGTAAGTTCTCTCATATCTTTGGGCCAGTCCTCTTTACCCTTCACATTTCCCTTTTTTAGGACTTGAAAGGGACGGTCTCACTTTTCTTAATGCCCCTACCCAGAGATAATCACTCTCTTTTATTTAGGGAAATCAATATGTACACATTTAGAGTTTTAAAAAATAGCAGAACTTTGACCCTGGCTGCTTCTGTTCGTTTAACATCCCATCCTAGGCATTTTCTGAAGTCTTGGACAATTATTTGCAAGCACGTTGTTAATGGCTGAATAATGTTCCATGGAATTGAAGGTAACAGCAACACAAACAAAGTACAGCTGACCCTTGAACAACATGGGATTGAACTTTGTGGGCCCACTTGTATGCAAAGGTTTTTCAATAAATACATTGGAAAATTTTTTTGGAAATTTGCAACAATTTGAAAAAACTTACAGATGAAATGCATAACCTAGAAATATTGAAAAAAATTCAGAAAAAGTTAGATATTTCCTGAATCCATTAAATACACATACATACTAGTCTATTTTACCATTTACTACCATGAAATATATGCAAATCTATACCATTACATATATATACAAATATATACCATTTACTACCATGAAATATACACAAAGTTAAAATCGATCAAAACTTACACAAACCCAGACTGTATGTGGTGTCATTCTCTGTCAAGAGAAATGTGAACGTAAAGATGCCGTATTGAATCCTAATTGCATGAAATTAACTGTGGTCCATACTACGCTACTGTAAAATGTCCTGGTCACTGCTCGTTGCTACTGCAGTGAACCCAAGTGTTGTCAGTGCCCATTTAAAATGCTGCGTGACACCGATCACCTCCGTGGCACCCGCTCATTCCTCCAGTCAGGTGCATAGCCCAGTGAAACGTGATCTCCGGTATTTTTCAGCATGTTTGGTGCAGTCCTGTAAACCTCGAGCAGCACCGTGGGGCCCATGCACAATGCCACTGGTGATGCTGGAAGTCTCCCAAGAAGCAGAGAAAAGTCATGGCATTAGAAGAAAAGGCTGAGTTCCCTGATAGGTCTTACAGATTTCGGTCTGCAGCTGCAGTTGCAGATAAATGAATTTCATTTCAAGATAAATGAATCCAGTGTAAGGACCATTTAAAAAAAAAAAAAGCAAGAGAGGGAAAGAAATTTGTGAAACTCTCACTGCAGCTACACCAGCAGGCAGGAAAACCTTCACTTTTTGCAAAATACCTTTTCATCTCATATTTAGAATGCAGCTTTGATGTGGTTGCCGGATTCCTACAAGCAAAGCATACATAAAGACTCTAATATGATTTAAGAAAAAGCAAAGTCATTATATGACAAAGCAGAAAGAAGGTGAAAGTTCTAAAGCTGGAGAATTTAATGCCAACAAAAGATGATTTGATAGTTTTAGAAAGTGATTTGGGTTTTAAAAATATCTAGATAACAGGAGTAGCAGCTTTAGCTGACCAAGAGGCAGCAGATGAGTTCCCAGACGCCATTAAGAAAATCACCAGAGAGGCCAGGTGTGGTGGCTCACGCCTGTAATCTTAGCACTTTGGGAGCCTAAGGCTGGAGGATCGCTTGAGGCCAGGAGTTCAAGACCATCCTGGGTAACATAGCAAGACACCCCCCCCCCAACCTATCTCTACAAAAAATAAACAAAACATTATAAAAAGAAAATCATCAAGGAGAAAGGATGTCTGCCTGAACAGGTTTTTAATGCAGATGAAAATGCCCTATTCTGGAAAAAAAATGCCGAAAAGAAGAGAAGCAAGCCCCAGAATTTAAGGCAGGAAGGGACAGGCTAGTCTGCTGTTCTGTGCAAATGCAGTCAGGTTTATGATCAGGACTGCCCTTATCTGTAAAGCTGCTAAGCCTCAGTTTTAAAGGGAAAGGAGAAACACCAGCTGCCAGTCGCTCGATTGTACAAGAAGGCCCGGGCAGCAAGAACTCTATTGTGATTTCATCAAGGCTTTGTCTCTGAAGTCAGGAAGTACCTTGTTAGTAAGGGACTACCTTTCAAAGTTCTGTCGATATTGGACAATGCTCCTGGCCACCCAGAACCTCTTGAGTTAACACCAGTGGTGTTGATGTGGTCTGCTTGACCCCAAACACAGCATCTCTTTTCAGAGAGTTACAAGGACCTTGAAGCCTCATTATGTACAGTATTCAATGGAAAGGATTGGATGCTGCGGAAGAGAACTACGAGAGAGAGAGACCAGCATGAAAATCCTACAAAGATTTTACCACTGAAGACACCATCATTGCTACGGAATAGGCCATGAAAGCCACTGAGCCTGAAACAAATTCCCACCAAAGAAAACGGTGTCCAGATGTTGGCCTGACTTCACAGGATTTACAACAGAGCCAGTCAAGGAAATCATGAAAGAGACTGTGGATATGGCAAACAAAGGTGGGAGATGAAGGGTGCAAGATACGGCTCTTGAGAAATTCCAGAGCTAATAGACACCACTCCAGAGGAATGAACTACAGACGACCTGATGGAGATGAGTGCTTCCAACCCAGCGCCAGATGATGAGGAAGAAGATGTAAAAGAGACAGTGCCAGAAAGCAAATTGACATCAGACAGTGTGGCAGAAGGGTCCTGATTAGTCAAGACTGCATTTGACTTCTTTTGTGACATACTCACTTCTGTGATACGCACCGAAACTAAAGGAAATGGTGGAAAGATTGGCACTGATAGAAACTAAAAAGTAAAGCAGACAGAAATTATGATGTACTTCCATGAAGTTCCACTGAATGTGCCTGCCTCTTCCGCCTCCCCTTCCACCTCCTCCACGTCTTCCACACCTGAGACAGCAAGACCCATCCCTTCTCTTCCTCCTCCTCCTCCTCAGCCTGCTCGGTGTGAAGAGGATGGGGATGAAGATCTTTTTGAGTGGTTGGTCCACTTCCACTCAATGAACAGTACATTTTCTCTTTCTTATGATTTTCTTTTATTTTTCTCTTCTTTTTTTTTTTTTTTTTGTTTGAGATAGGGTCTCACTCTGTCACCCAGGCTGGAGTGCAGTGGTGTGATCTAGGTTCACTGCAACCTCTGCCTTCCAGGTTCAAGCAGTTCAGCCTCTCGAGTAGCTGGGTTTTTTTTTTTTTTTTTTTTTTTTTTTGAGACAGAGTCTTGCTCTGTCGCCCAGGCTGGGGTGCAGTGGCCGGATCTCAGCTCACTGCAAGCTCCGCCTCCTGGGTTTAGACCATTCTCCTGCCTCAGCCTCCCGAGTAGCTGGGACTACAGGCGCCCGCCACCTCGCCCGGCTAGTTTTTTGTATTTTTTAGTAGAGACGGGGTTTCACCGTGTTAGCCAGGATGGTCTCGATTTCCTGACCTTGTGATCCGCCCGTCTCGGCCTCCCAAAGTGCTGGGATTACAGGCTTGAGCCACCGTGCCCGGCCGAGTAGCTGGGTTTACAGGCACCCACCACCATGCCCAGCTATTTTTTGTGTTTTTGGTAGAGATGGGGTTTCACCATGTTGGCCAGGTTGGTCTCGAACTCCTGACCTCAAGTGATCCACCCACCTTGGCCTCCCAAAGTGCTGGGATTACAGGTGTGAACCACCGCACCCAGCCACGATTTTCTTAATAATATTTTCTCTAGCTTTATTTTAAGGATATAGTATATAATACACAAAACGTGTTTTAAATGACTTTTACATTTATATTATTGATAAGTCTTCTGGTCACCAATAGGCTATGAGTAGTCAGTTTTGGGGGAGTCAGAAGTTATACATGAGTCAGGTGTAGTGACTCACACCTGCAATCCTAGCTCTTTGGGAGACCAAGGTGTGAGGATCACTTGAGTCCAGGAGTGTGAGACCAGCCAGGGCAACATGGCAAAACCCCATCTCTACTTAAAAAAAAAAAAAATTAGCTAGACGTGGTGGCATGCACCTGTAGTCCCAGCCATGCTGGAGGCTGAGGTTGGGGGATCACCTGAGCTTGGGAGGTTGAGGCTGTGGTGAGCCTCGATTGTGCCACTGCACACCAGCCTGGGCGCCGCAGGTGAGACTGTCTCCAAAAGTTATACACAGATTCTTAACTGCATGTATAGGGGTTCAGTACCCCCTAACCCCCACATTGTTCAAGGGCCAGCTGGATAGTAATAAAAACTGACAGTCATCCAGTGCTGTGTGTGGATGCCTTTCTAAAGGTAAATGTACTTTATGTACAGTAACTTACTGTAATCCTCACAACAGCACTGGGAGGTTGATTCTCTTATTATCCCCATTTTACAGGTGAGGAAACCGAGGTACACTTGGGGAGGTTAGGTCAGCCATGTGTATGGCAAGCGGTGAAGGCAGAATTATTTACTCAGCTCTTCTGTTCTTAACCATCTGTTTTCAGATTACAAATTACACTACGTAAATCTTTGTATGTAAATCGTAGTCCACTTAAAAAATATTTTTCATACCTGGACTTTAAAGATTTTCAATACATATTGCCATACTGCTTTTCAAAACAGTCCTGCATCAGATACACTTCATTTCAGAAAGAATTCTGAGCACTACAAGAGATGCATCCAATAGGAGAAAAAAACAGCTGTACAGATTGATCACATATTTGAGTGCCCACTACCTGCCAGGCACTCTTAGGTGCAGACGATACAACAGTGACAAGACCCCTGCCTTTATGGTCATGGGAAGGGGGTGGGAGGCAGACAACCTGCAGACACACAGCCAGTGTGTGCAGCAGGTTCGAGGGTGGTGGCAGGTGCTGAGGAGGAGGCCGGGGGTGTTGCGTAGTGGCCACCGCTGGAGAAGAGAACGGAACAGAGGCTGGGCTGGGGTGGGCTACAGACATCCAGACGCCTGGGGGTCTGGGCCTGACAGCCCATCTATTCCTCGCTGTCAGCCAGTCCTGGGCACTAGAGCCATGTGACCGAGAGCTTAAAGTGCACTCAAGTGTCAGACCTTGGTCAAGAGTAGCTTGTTTCTTCTGGTACTGAGGACAGAGAAATGACTCCCTAATGGGAAAAAAGTCATGAGTCGCCTCAGGAGCAGTTCTAGGACAGGTTATAGTGGCTCTGTGGGCGTGGCCTCACTTTCCCAGGGTGGTGTGGGAGTGGCCTTTCCCTCTGGGTGGGCCTGTGGGCGTGGCCTCACTTTCTTTGGGTGGTGGTTTGGGCGTCGCCCCGCCTCCTCTGGGTGGTGGTGTGGGCGTGGCCTCTCCCTCTGGGTGGTGGTCAGCGCATGGCCCCCCCTCTGGGTGGTGTGGGCGTGGCCTCTCCCTCTGGGTAGCTCTGTGGGCGTGGTTGCCCTTCCTGCCAAACAGCTGCTGCTGCCTAGCTGCTCAGATTGCTTCACGACCTCATCCACGTAGTTAAACGCTTGGGTGTGACTAGGTCACAGAACCTCATCTGCCAGAGGGCAGAATGTTGCTTTATGAAATTAAAAAATGTGGTTGATTTCAAAATTCCATGTGTCCCCAGGTGAAAAAGCACCTATGGGTAGGAAATTCAAGCAACAGTGAGTAGGCCATCTGTGTAAGCCCAGGCCCTAGGGAAGAGCTGCTGGGGGTGCCCCTTGGAGAACGGGCAGAAGCTCTAGTTCTTTAGCTGAGGTTCCCCAGCAGTCTGCATCAGACTTTTCTGTGGGGTCATCTGACCTGGGGAGACCCTACCCCGAGCACTTAGTTAAGGAAGGCCTGCTGGTGAGAGTGCTGTATTCTAATCAAGTGTGTAGGTTTTTTCCTCTTTACCTCCCAATCTTCAGTCTCGGTGCTAAAATAGCCGTGTTTATTCTAGTGTTAAATAAATGCCAGGAGTTCTGTCATGCTTTCTGCCCTGGAGGAGCATGGCCAGAATGAGGGTGGTTCTGTTGACATGTGCGTGGTGTTTGTGGATTTTCTAGTGAATGATTTCCTCCCAGCTGCAGTTGAGTGGTTTCCATGAACGGGTACAATCTAGAAAGTCAAAGACCAAGTGTACAATACAACTTTTTTTCTTTCTTTCAAAAACCTCATTTGATTGCAAGCAAGAGAGTGTTAAAAAACTAAAAACACCTGTTTATAACAACAGCATGGTGGTGATCACAAATTGTCTTAATTGTGTGAACCTATATATGAAACAGGAATATTGGAATTTACTGTGTTCAAAATGCCAATTAAAACTTCATAAAGGCCAGGCATGGTGGCTCACACCTGTAATCCCAGCACTTTAGGAGGCCAAGGTGGGCGGATCACCTGAGGTTGGGAGTTCAAGACCAGTCTGACCAACATGGAGAAATCCTGGCTCTACTAAAAATACAAAATTAGCCGGGTAAGGTGGCGCATGCCTGTAATCCTAGCTACTCGGGAGGCTGAGGCAGGAGAATCTCTTGAGCCAGGGAGGCAGAGGTTGCTGTGAGCCAAGATCGCGCCACTGCACCCCAGCCTGGGCAACAAGAGCGAAACTCCATCTCAAAGAAAAAAAAAAAAACAAACCACAAAAACAAACTTCATAGAACAGGTGGGGCTTTGATATCTAGTGCTGTTGGCAACATAAAATATGATTATGGTCTTTACTAAATGTCAGTTATGCTTTAATTTATTCACGCCATTTAAAGAGACAGATGGGCAAACAAATCTAGAATGAGTGGGAATCAAGAATAAATAGTCCCAAAGGTTTGACATCTCTGTAGATTATACGTATACCTTGAACAATACTATTTTCAGTATTTTAACATCTTTGTAAATAGAAGCACATGTGCTTATTGAAGAACCAGAGAGATACAGAATTTCAGTTTTCGTTTTTTACATATCATGTCTGCAAAACATTCTTGTGTTGCGGTTTTGCTGTTAGAAAGAATAGCCTTGAAGAGGGAGTGTCTCAGAATGGCTTCCCCGTTCCGATCAGGGAATAACTTCTGTTTGCTTATCTTGGGGACTCACCCTACCCCTGGAAAATTGAGAAGATTTTCAGTGATTGTGTAGTCTCTCTTCCCCCTCTCTCTTTCCAGTTTTTACTGACAGAATTGCTATTGAGACTGTTGATTTCAGTAGTTAATGATGGCCTGCTAAGATTAGAAAGGGTAGGGTGCCTATTCAAAGTTCTGAAATCGTAAAAGCAAGCTGTCCTCAGCTTAACTGCAGAATTTGTCAGAATGGTTAGAGTGCCTCTTCAGGGGGATCTTAATCACTTCATGATAGTTTACAAAAATAGCCTAATGGTAAAGAATTACATGTATTGACATGTGTAAGTTCTCCCTCTGTCTCTTCTTAGACTTGGTTTCCTAGATTGAAAGGCCTGTGAGGTGAGACCCCTGTGTTGTATTGTGTACTTAAATCACCCTCAGACTTCTCTGCCTTCCATTCACCTCCTCTGAAGCCATTGTTTGTCCCCATACTCTGCCAGAGGTGAAACCATTCAGTGGCCGTCTCTCTTAGAGCTCCTTCTTATGCCTATGGAAAAATCAGCTTTTAAATGATCAAAAGGCGATTAGCACTCAGAAAAGAGTGTTAGTTTCTCCAGTGATTTCCCTAAAAGTTGCCAGCATTTCTTGCCCTCTAGGCAGACCTAGGGCAGATACATTGACTTCCCCATTCCTGGTCGTGTAGCAGGTGAACTACAGCTCTGCGCTGTGTGACCCCAGAGCCTGTACCCTCCCCCCGTGTCCTGCCTATGCAGTAGCTCTACACTGATTCACAAAACATTTTGTCTTGTTTTGTTACTCCTTTAGGAAGATGCAATCACACCCAACGATAAGACCCTTTTCCCTGATGTTGATTGGTTAATCGGTAACCATTCTGATGAACTCACACCATGGATACCTGTCATTGCAGCCAGGTGAGAAGTAGAGGAGTTACCAGGTGAATGACTGGGGAATGCTTCGTCTTCTAAATAGTGATGTCCAAAAGGGTAGCCACTAGCTGCATGCAGTTGTCAAGCACTTGAAAAGTGGGTATTTCCAATTTTTGAAATGTTTGCATATCACCTATATTGGGTTAAATTTAAAATAAATTCCACCTGTTGTATTTTACCTTTTAAAATATGACTACTGGAAAATACAAAATTTCTGAGATTATTCACATTATATCTCTACTGGCCAGCACTGATTGGCACTGTGATTATCTACAGTATTTATATCCGGTGCCAAAAGAGGTGTCCTTTTTGGAAGTTGTCTTCTGAAAACATGAGGGTTTGTCTTTGAAGGGGAAGTCTACCCATCGGTGGAGCCTCTGCAGCCACAGTTGCCTCTGCACGGGGAGCTGCGTGTGTCAGAGGCAGCTGGTCCTGTGTCCGAGAGACTTGGTCACAAAGCAGGTTGTGCTGCTGCTCGTTGACGTTTCGTTGCTGAGTCTCCTTATCTCAGGTTCTTCTGAGCTGTTTTCATTCTCAAGGAGTAACTAGGTTGAAGATAGGTCTTCACTCGGGCTTGGTTGTGCTTCCCTGTAACAGTTCCTATTCAAAGCTGACATCTTAAAGTACTTCAGGAAGTTTTAGATGACACTTGATAATAGTAACTGAAAAAAAAGTCATTTTTTATAAAAGTAATTAGATTCATATTTTATTGAAAAGATATATTGTGTTGCCTTATTTCTAGAAATTAAGTTAGGGAAGGCTGTAATTCATCTTTTTTTTTTTTTTTTTTTTTGAGACGGAGTCTCACTCTGTCGCCCAGGCTGGAGTGCAGTGGCGCAATCTCGGCTCACTGCAAGCTCCGCCTCCCGGGTTCACACCATTCTCCTGCCTCAGCCTCCTGAGTAGCTGGGACTACAGGCACCTGCCACCACGCCCGGCTAATTTTTTTGTATTTTTAGTAGAGACGGGGTTTCACCGTGTTAGCCAGGATGGTCACAATCTCCTGACCTTGTCATCTGCCCGCCTCGGCCTCCCAAAGTGCTGGGATTACAGGCGTGAGCCACCGTGCCTGGCCTAATTCATCTTTTAATATGAAAAACAATATGACACAGCCATAAAGAAAAGGAAATCATGTCCTTTGCAGCAACATGGGTGCAGCTGGAGGCCATTATCCTCAGCAAACTATTGCAGAAACCAAAAACCAAATGCCGCATGTTCTCACTTGTAAGTGGGGCCTAAACATTGAGTACACAGGGCCATCAAGATGGCAGCAACAGACGCTGGGCCTGCTGGGGTGGGGAGTGAGGGAGAGGGCAAAGGTTGAAAAACCACCTGGTGGTTACTATGCTCACTACTTGGGTCATGGGATCTGCCTTAGCCCAAACCTCAGCATCTTGCAGTACACTCATGCCACAAAACCTGCACACATACCCCCTGAAGCTGAAATAAAAGTGGACATTATGTGTATATAAAAGGAAACAGTATTGGCCAGGAACATCACTTCCCTATTTTGCCCCGCTACGCGATTGCCGTGTGGCTTTGCGCCGAATTTCCTTGACTGCGTCTGCTCTGGATGCTTGACACTCTGGTTGTCGGTTCTTTTTGAAGGTCTTCCTACAATTGCCGCTTCTTTGTCCTCCCCTGCTGCTTCTTTGACTTCATTGGAAAATACTCCCGGAGGCAGAGTAAGAAGACTCAGTACCGGGAATACCTTGACTTCATTAAAGAAGTGGGCTTCACCTGTGGGTTTCACGTGGCCGAAGACTGCCTCAGGATTCCTTCAACCAAAAGAGTACGTCCTGATTCTCATTGTTCTTGGCGGTGTGTTGGTGTTCGGATGGAGAGCTCAGGACTCTGTCACAGAGCCGTGAACCATGCTGTAACCTTCAAAATGTTCCAGAACATGCTGGTGCTGATTTCTGTGCCTCTGTCACTGACGAGGCCCAGAGGCTTGTTCTGTCTCATGGTACCCTCCTTAAAGGCACCCCGGTGCTCCCTCCTCCAGGCCTGTAGGCGCCCTCGCCAAGCCCTCCTTGCCTCTCCAGAAGCTCTGAGTGGCCCCAGGGGACCTGCCCAGAGGAGGCCTCGGTGTGGCCTGTGGCTGAACTCCCTGGGGAAAGTTCCTGCTCCTTCAAGTCGCAAATAATTGGCTGCAATTGAAGTGTGTTTCAGAAGTTCACAATGATTTCCCATTTTCTCATTAAAGGCCTGGTTCATTCAGATTCACCAGAAATGTCATTTGGGCAGAAGGTGGCCCGGGGACTTTCTGTGAGCAGCGTGACCGTGCCTCTGAACCTTGTATGGACAGGGCAGACTTAGGCCCTCTTGCCGTGCCAAGGGCTTGACCTTTCTAAAGAACCATGGAAGTGTTTACAGCCGCTCACCTCAGTCTCTGGTGACTTTATTTGACAACAGTCTGTGGCTGGCAGACAGTGTGCTTTTAAAAAATAACTCCGTCGTGTCCAGGCCACAGAGTTTGACGGCTGCCTTAGCAAGAAAGGGCCCGGCTGATCTGAGCAAAGCCTCAGCTCTGCTGCTCGTGGTTCACTCCGACTGATCGCAGAGCTCCACAAGCCTGTCCGCTTCTGTGAGACCAGAAGGCTGCCTGGTGCTTTGTGGAGGCTTAACAGGATGATGTCTTCAGAGCCCACGGCGGGGAGGGCATGTCGTGGGCACTCGCTGGCCGGCTGCAGTCATAGCCGTGCGCCAGGAGCAGCGTTGGCTGTTGGCACAGGCCTCAGGGCCGCTGGCACTGTCACTACCCTGCTACCATGGGAAGTTACCTTAGGACTTGCTGCTGAACCGTCCCGTCATCCTCTCAGTGTCCTCCATTTTGGCAGGTCTTGGTCTTCTGAGGTCAGAACTGATTTGGGGAAACTGCTAAAGTTTGGGTCCTCTAGGCAGGTCCAAGGAGCCTGTGGCTTTGATTTTTGCACTTGCTGTCCCATTACTAATTGGTAGAGACCATGGACTGTCGCTTCATCTCTCTGAGCTTCAGTTTTCTTATCACTGGCAGGTTTGGGGATCGAATATAAAAGTGGATGTGAACGTGCTTTGTCATTTTTAAAGCAGTTCACGCACAGCACATGTCTGGTGGGGCCTGGGTGTGTGACAGGCACTGAGAATTTAAAATCCTCCTGGAAGAGGTGGGGAGCAGAGGTGTGGCTGTCACATAGTGAGGAGGTCGGCTTCCTTATCACCTGCGCCTGGCCTTGTAGTTGATGCCTGGAGAGGAAGCCCAGAAATAAGGCGCCCGTGCCATGGTTGGCTGGGCCTGCTTGTCCGGAGGGGACTGTCTGAAGGGCATCCTCCATCGGGATGTGCCGCGAAGGAAGGCGAGCATGCGTGGAGCGCCTCTGTGGCTCCAGGCCCTCTGCTTAGCCCCCATGTGCACTTGCTGGCTCTGGCAAGGTGGGGACAAAGCTACCTCCCTTCCCAGCCCCTGGGGCACTGGGCAGTGTTACCATCAGCATGTGCCCCCCCCCAGGTGGCCAAGGGGTGGAGTGAGGGGCGGCAGCAGGAAAGCTTTAGGACGGTGCGGCTGCCAGGCCCAGGAGTGTGGATTCTGAGTTTAGGCGCCTTTGTTAGGTCTTGTGAAGCTCCAAGTGATGAGAGGGAACCATGGGCTCTTACTGTTTTTTGGGGGTTTTAAAAATTTTTAAGTAACTTATATTGGCGTCAGTTTTTATTTTTTATTTATATTTATTTATTTTGAGATGGAGTTTTTGCTCTTGTCACCCAGGCTGGAGTGCATTGGCACAATCTTGGCTCACTGCCTCTGCCTCCCAGGTTCAAGTGATTCTCCTGCCTCAGCCTCCTGAGTAGCTGGGAATACAGGTGTGCGCCACCACACCTGGCTAATTTTTGTATTTGTAGTAGAGACAGGATTTCGCCATGTTGGCCAGGCTGGTCTCAAACTCCTGACTTCAGGTGATCTGCCCACCTTGGGCTCCCAAAGTGCTGGGATTACCGGTGTGAGCCACCGTACCCGACTGGTGTCAGTTTTTAAAATCAGGATTTTTTCATGATAGACGTTTAAAACTTGTGATTTGTACTCCAGGATGAGAGCATTCCATGAAGAATGTTGAAATAGACAAGCCAGCTAAAATACTTGCTTTGCTCTTTTCAAACACAGGTCTGTCTCATTGGGAAATCCAGAACATACCCTCCCTCCAGAGAAGCTTCCATGGATGAAAAGAGGACTCAGTACATTAAGAGCAGGCGGGGCTGCCCTGTAAGCCCACCTGGACGGGAGCTTTGCCCTTCTCCACTCCGGGTTGCTGCTGGCAGTGCTGGTCACTGTGACGGTCACCAAGCTCTGGGCGCCAGGGTCGGGTGTGTAGCCGGGGCCTGGGCCGCTGAGCGTGGAGCAGGGCCCCAGGCCGAAGGAGCCTGGCTACCTGGATTTCATCCCAGAGAAAAGGCTGAGCGCGTGAGGAACTGTGCCGCCCTGCCGCGAGGCTTTATCGACCAAGTGGTTTTGCAAGTGGCGAATTTATTGTTAGGTGGAAAGCAATTAAACACAGGAAGTTCTCGAAATGGGAGTTTGAAGACCTGGAATCGGGGAGGTAAGCTGTCCACCACCTCAGGGGCTAGCACGCTCCCAGGCTTGAGGGCAGGAATTCACGTGTTCATAACCAGCATAAAATGGTGTGGCCCTGTGACTACACACACTGAAAAAGCCATTGATGGTGGGTGAATAGGCTCTCTTCAAGCAAATTCTTTAAAATTTTCCCAATAGTTCCTATAAACATAAAGGACTTTGTTATTTCCAGAGAGGAAGGCCGAGGCCAGGCCAGGGAGTGACAGAGTTTTGACCCTTAATTAACTTTTACAAAACAGGTTTAGGGGCTAGAACTACTCATTTTCCATCCAGAAATTATCCAAAGAGAAAACAGGTTACTGAGGCCAGAAAAAGGCACTGTCCCCTTGAGTATGCAGTAAGATTTGGAGCTGTTGTGATTCAATAATTTAATTCTCTTTGAAATCCCCAAAACACAAAAATCAGCTATGGCAAAAGGAGAAAATTACATCGATTGTTCTCATGGGGTGAGTGGTGCGTTGAAATTAATGGCATTCAGAGAGCCAGCCGGGGCTGTAAGGACCTCGCCTCCTTCCAGGCAGGGATGCTGCTTGGCCGCCAGAGGGTGGTGTGGAGCTGCAGCCAGAGCCTGGCTTCTCGCAGTTTTGGGAACTGGAGAAGAGCACGGAGCCCCATCCCCTCCTGGCCCCTCCGTCAGTGACTCCTGCCTGGCTGCCCGTTTGAGGGAAAACCTTCCTCTCCAGGCCTTGCTTTCCTCACCTGTGAATGTTGGGACAAAATCATGCCCGTTTCCTTCTTCATCCTTTGTCCTCTTGCACCATGTGTACATGGAATGGGGCTGGGCCATTGAGCACAGACGGCCCCTCCAGAAATCATTCGAACCTGATGGTAGCTGGTCAGCAGAGCCTCTAGCCATCTGGCGAGAGTGGCCCTGGCTCAGTGGCTGATGGGGCCGACTAGCTGCTTGCAAATCACCAGGCACCGTGGGGCCTCTGGGTTGGTGCCTCTGACTAAAGGCGCCCTGCTGTGGTGGGGCTGGAGCACAGAGGAGGAAGGCTGAGGCTGGCAGAGCATGATCCCAGCACAGGCAGCTGGGCCCCAGAGCCCCAGGGACATCAGTGTGGTCTGAAAGTTCCCATGTGCAGTAAGCAGTGACAGTTCTTGAGTGCAGTTTGACCTTTAAATTCCCAGGAGATGACGGGTGCACAGATGTCAGCTGTGCCTGGGATGGACAGCTTTTGGTGGGTGAGGAGGAAGGAGGAACAGACCTGGAGATGGAGAGCGGGGGTGGCTGAGTGGTGGGCTCAGTCCTGCCTGCCCCTTGGAACCTGGGAACCAGGGCGCCTAACAAGCCCCGTACCCCCATCCCCTCCAGATTGGTGTCCGTGGGTCTGGGGCTTGTTAGGGGCTCTCCATGTGGCCATGCTGTGAGAAGGAAGGAGCTGTGCCCTTGGCCTCTCAGCCTACCGCCTCCCTCCTGCCCACAGGCAGCCTTCAGGGCCTTTGGTCTCACCCCCACCCAGCGTGTCATCAGACAGGCCCCTCTGTGTTTCTGTGCCTGTGGGCCATGTGTGGCTCTGGCTCCAGGACCTCACCCATCCTAGCTCCGCGTCTGCCCCTGTGGGACATTGCTGAGAAACAGGGTGGGAAGGGGCCCTGCCCTCAAGAGGCTCCAAGTCCTGCATTGCTAGGAGTCAAGGCCGCACACGTCAAAGGATGAGTAACCAAGAGGCTGGATGTGCCAGGCCCAGAGGCACCCACGGCTGCAAGTGTGAGATTCCCGGTTATGGAGTCCGTGCCGGGCCAGAGGCAGGGGCACAGGGAAGGCTGACTGGGACGATATGTCATCTTTTTTAAAACACTCCCACTCCTCTCAGAATGGATTTGAGACAGACGAGAGGTTGACTCAGAATACTGGCCGGGCTGGGATAGGAAGGACTCTTGCAGCAGCTGCAACAGCGGCTGCCCGCACCGGGGTCCTGGGTCAGCATTGTGGTGCCCTGATCTGTGGGGGTCCCACAGGCTCAGCTGCATGCAGGCAGGCACCGTCTCCTCCGCTCTCCTGCAGCTTGGAGGGTGCAGATAAGACGTGAAGTGCAGCACCTGGCAGATAGGAAGTTCCTGGCAAATACACATAGGAAAACCAGCTTTCATTCATATCCAATTTGATGTTTTGGTAATAAATGACTTTATTGTCACCAGGTTTTCTGATTAGAGCATTTTAAAATACATGCAGGCTCTCAAAGAAGAAATTCGAATGGGAAAGAGACCATCACTGTGGTGTCTGTGCTGTTGCTTTTTTTTAACACCTAGTGTGGCCTTGCTGGCCACCCTGGAGCCGGTAGCGCCAGGCCTGCTGCCGCATGGTTGGAGCAGCCACTGGGGAGGCTCAGGCCCCAGGCCTGCCAGCTTGGCCTTCCTTCTTTAGTCTGAGAAACCCTGGCTCCAAACAGCCACCCCCTTCATGGGTCACCAGCGAGAAGAGCTTGAGGTGACCACCCAGAGCAGGCAGCATCACCTGACGCCTGGCCCTGTGCGGGCAGGAGGCATGTGTGGGGCTGCGCCTCGTCAGGCTGCGCCACCTCAGCTGGGTGGGGACACCGCGGCCCTCACGGTTTGGCCGCGGTGCGGTGTGGGTTAGTTGAGACGGGATCGTGGTCCTTCGTGCTGGAGTGCACAAGGCGTGAGTGTATGGAACTGAAATGGACCGTTTCTGCCTGTGTGACAGGTTTGTAATATTTTGTTGTGGTTTTAGGGAAAAAAAAAACAAACCATTTTTCCACAGAGAGCCTATCTCTGGCAGAAGTAGCCAGTGAGCTGGACACGGAGACCCTGCGGAGGCTGAAGCGGGAGTGTGGGGGCCTGCAGACGCTGCTCCGGAACAGCCACCAGGTGTTCCGAGGTATGGGGTCTGCCCCTTCACTGCTTTTCTCTTTCCTTCCCTTTCCCGCTTTTTTCTGTTAAATAACGTTTTATTTTAGAGTGGTTTAGACTCTCACAGAAGAATCTGGCAGAAGCACCAAGTTCTACGGTGCTCCACCCAGCTCTGACGTGGGTAGCATTTGACCTCGGGGTGGGACGTGGGTCACCCCGTTTATTCCTGGCTCCTCTGGACCTTGTCCCATGCGATGTCCCCAGGCCGGTCTCCCTCCCCCTATGCTGTACTTGCTGACACCTCAGCTCCACTTGCTCCACACAGGACAGAGCAAGTCGGGCAGCCGCTGACCGGGCCCCTCTTGGCTGGGGGTCCTTGTTTGGCTTCGTCTTTAGCTGCTGCAAACTGGAAGCATCCAGAGCCACAGAGCCAGGGTGGGGAGTGGGAGGAGTGAGCCCCTCCCCACAGGCGGAGGCCTGGACTCCTGTGGCCCTTGCTCTTCGGGCCTGGGCAGGGGGAGGTCCTGGTACCCAGCTCCACTGCTGGGCAATGCCCTGTGACTCCAGGACTGCCAGGGCATGGGGGTCTGGACCCACCCACTGGGCCGCCTGTGACTCCAGGACTGCCAGGGCATGGGGAGGTCCTGGTACCCAGCTCCACTGCTGGGCAATGCCCTGTGACTCCAGGACTGCCAGGGCATGGGGAGGTCCTGGTACCCAGCTCCACTGCTGGGCAATGCCCTGTGACTCCAGGACTGCCAGGGCATGGGGAGGTCCTGGTACCCAGCTCCACTGCTGGGCAATGCCCTGTGACTCCAGCACTGCCAGGGCATGGGGAGGTCCTGGTACCCAGCTCCACTGCTGGGCAATGCCCTGTGACTCCAGCACTGCCAGGGCATGGGGAGGTCCTGGTACCCAGCTCCACTGCTGGGCAATGCCCTGTGACTCCAGCACTGCCAGGGCATGGGGAGGTCCTGGTACCCAGCTCCACTGCTGGGCAATGCCCTGTGACTCCAGGACTGCCAGGGCAGGGGGAGGCAGGAGGGCCCGCCACCCGCTTGTCCATTCACTCAGCCCACAAAGCAGGGCAGACACATCCCTGGCCTGCTGCAGCTGGCGGTGCAGTGAGGGAGAGGGAGATGTAGCAGGTGTTCCCCCAGGGGCCGGCGGTGTACACAGTTCCATCATCTGCAGCTTCCAGGTGTGCACAGAGGGGGCAGGGACAGGGGGGAGCCACAGTTTACCAGCGCCGGCGGCTGGGGCGTTTGCCGTAACTTGCTTCGTGGAGCTATTTTTCCCCTCTTTCTGTAAGTATTTTAAAGTGAATACCAGCTAGCACCCTATTTCACCCCTAAGTACTTCCACATGCATCTTTAAAAATACTAGGTGTCTTGTGTCACCACCATGCCCTAAGCACACATTTCTGTGAGTCGCGATGTGCAGGGAGAACTGGCCTGGCCCAGAGTGGGCTCAGGAGGGCTTTACTTAGGAAATGACACTTGAGCTGGGCCTGGAAGGAAAAGAGGAGTCAGGAACAGAGAACAGCTTTTAGGCAGAGCGAACAGCATTTGCAAAGAGCCAGGGTTGGGAGGAACAAGAGTGGGAGCTGGTGGGGCTATAGCTGCCATGACCAGGAGAAGGACTGGGCCTCTGACGGATGGGTAGGGATGACACCGAAGTCACAATGGGAAGGAGTGGCCTGGCTCACACCCTAGCTTCTGGGTCCCCTGCCCATGAGGCTGCCATGGGGGTCAGGTGCAGTGCGGTATCTGGCTCTGTGCATGTGTGAGAGAGCACAGGTGTGTGCGCCATGCCTATTGTGTACACAAGAGTGCAAGCGTGTGGGTTTGTGCACACACACACTGCCTTTAGGTGCCCGCCTGCTCTTGGAGAGCTGAACTTGGCTTTCAGCTGAACTGGCTTCTTTAGGTGACAGTTGCTATTGGGTGGGGGGCCCGTGAGCGTGGTTGGAGCCTCTGTTTCCCGGGACAGGTGCAGAAGCATGTTCCTGAGGCTGCCTCCAGGGTAGACACTGGGCCTGCAGTGGTGGCTGGGCTGGGCCTGCTGCTGGAGTCTGTTCTTCCTTGCACCGAGCTTCAGGCAGTTAGAATATTTCCCGCCTCCACGGGGCCCCTTTCTGTCTTTCCCAACGCTTGTTTTTGTTGATTTCCTGAAATACTGTCCTTTCACCCACGGGGGTGGGTCTGCCTGTGTGTCACTGTTTTTCTGTGCAAGTCACCCTGGGGGACAGACTTGTTTTTGGAAACACTTCTGAGTAGGAGGCCTGGGGGTTGGGTTCCAAATAAACATTCTTCCCCAGTCATGAGAAAACTATGCTCTGAAGCTGGGTCTTATCTCTGTATGAGGTTTAGGTTTTGTTTTAAGCTAACGTGGCTAGTCTCAGAAAATGTTTACGAGAGTGAGGAATTGGAAATGTTTCCAGATGGCTTCAGGTCAGCCAGCCTGAGCATGACCTGTGAGGGCCACGAGGGCCAGCCCTGCCTCTGTCCCCGCCCCTTCCTGAGGCCACCGAGGGGTGGCTCCATGCTGGCTGGTATGGAACCTGGCACCGTGCTGCTGGGTACACGCGGGGCCTCATCGTATCCTGCACTCGGGGCAGAGCAGGCCTTTCCTCCTTGAATCCACAGACACGGCTCAGAGAGGTCCGCGCGCTGGCCCGAAGTCTCCCAGTGAGTGGAGAGGCCGTGCCACGGTCCAGGCCAGGTCTGACCCAGCACTGGCACCCCTGAGCCTGCAGCATCATCCGGGGCATCGAATCCTCAGCCCGTTCCTCAGAGCAGCTTGGTGAGAGGGAGTGTCTGCTGTCAGAAGCAGTGGCGGAGGTGGCGGTTCCTGTGCGGAGAGAGAGTCCCAGGGGACACGCACAGTAGGGAGGGAGGAGGCGGCAGGAGCTTGGGTCGAGCAGACTGTGGCCCTGTGGTTCCATTTCAAAATGAGGAGCGCATTTCCAGAGGAGGAGAGTCTTTCTAGCTGTTGGTTGTCTTTCTAGCTGGCTGGAGCGAGTGTCCCTGGAAGGCCGCCCCTTCTGGCACCTGGTCACATAGGGGCTCAGGTGTTGTGGGGGCGCTGGGAGCTACCTGCCATGTCCAGGGTTGTAGACACGGGGAGTGGGTCAGCGAGGCTGGGCCGGCCTGGAGCCTACCTGTGCCATCCTGGGAGCCTCATCTCTATCATGAGCGCCTGCTCCTCAGTCCTCAGACACCCTGCAGGTCCTGCTCCCAAAACATGGCTGGGTGTGCTCTTAACTCCAGAGCCACCTGGGAGGGCCTGCTGCCAGGTGGCCTGTCACGTTGCGGCAAGGGGGTGCCCAGGCTGGCTCTGAGGGTGGGAATCTGCGCTCAGCCTTTGGCCTCAGTGATCCTCACCCCCTTCTCTTGACAGGTCAGGGCGTCAGGCCAGAGGCCCCTCAGTGTTTGGGGTCATGTGCCCCATGGGGAGTTGGGGGGAAGCTCTGGCCCCTGGGGCTCCTCCTGAGCACCCTTCAGAGGGTTCCAGATCCCTCAGTGGCTGGGATGTGCCCTTCTGTGCTGCGCCAGGAGGTGCTGCTGTGAGGACGTCGGCAGAGTATTGTGGGACTGCCTTAACCGTAGCCTTCAGGTTAAGCAACCTCAGCTCCCATGTTGGAAGGCGAGACAGAGAGGCGGCCGTGGGAGGGCAAACGGGGTCAGGCCTGGCCTTGGCGGTGCTTCCAGCCAGGCTGTGAGAGTGAGCCCCCAACTGTGTCCCTGGATGCAGCGAGGCGCCGCTCTCTGGGCTCATTTCTCTGGTTTCAGGGGAAACTATTTTTAAAGTAGCAGTCTGTCAAAAGCACACAGGCTTGTTACTGCCACACACAAGGTGATTTGAAGGCAGAATTCAAGCTTTAATTCCTACACTTTCAAGTTCTCCTTGGAAGTCGGTGAGCCAGACTTCCTCACTGAGGCTCCTTTATTCCCCCAGCCTTCTGCCGCGAGCGCTTGCCCAGCTTCCAGGGAGAGCCAGGAAGGCGGTGGCTGCTTTGGCCACATGTCACAGGGAGTTGTTGGCTTCCCACAAGGAAACGGCCAAATGGGAGTGTAGGGAGTATCTTGGCCCAATTTGGGGGGCAGGGTCAGGAGGCAGCCTGGAGGAGGCCCGTGAGGCCTGGCACCCAGGTGACGAGCGGGCCCACAGCAGCCCTCTCCTGGCCCCACCCCACTCTGATGTCCCTCCAGCTCCCCAGTGTGGAGGTCAGCCCTGGCCATTGAGTCCCAGTGGCACTTCCAGAGTGGGTGTCTAAACCACTGCGCAGAGGCAGGTACCCTTCCTGTTCCTTTCCAGAGCCCCTCGGCCTCCCTTACTCCACACTTGCACCTGGAGGGGCTCCGGTTGGGAGGTGCATGTAAACCCAGTGCACCAGGATGGCCCCAAGCAGAGGCCGCCCTGCAGCAGCCCGGTCCTTAGACTGTGGAGGGACCGGCGCCTTGCCCCTCTTTCTGCCTGTGATGCTGAGACAGTCCTCAGAGGTTAGGGCTGCAGTGCAGATGTTTTCTCGTGTTCTGGCTCTCACACTGTTCCATCCTTCCTCCACTCAAGTGATCCTTCTGAAATGGTGGCTCTGCAGGACCTGCCACTCAGCCAGAGGGAAGGTCGGGGCCTCAACGATGAGGCCACTTGGGACCCAGCTCTGTCCTCTGCCCTCCCCTCTGGCTGTCCCTGAAACGCGGCCTGTCCTGGTGCAGTCTGTCCTGGGACACTCAGGTTTGCTGCTTCTCTGCCTAAGATGCTCTTCCTGGGCCCGCGCAGGGCTGCCGCTCGCCTCGCGCAGGGCTCACCTTCCCTATCCTTGCCTGAAGACCCATCCTGTACCTCAGTCACTCCCACCGGAGGCAGGCTCCCTGTGACCAGCAGGAACTCTGGGCTGTGTCACGGTCACTCGCACCGGAGGCAGGCTCCCTGTGACCAGCAGGAACTCTGGGCTGTGTCACGGTTGTATCCCTGACCCTGGATTGGCACCTCCCATGGCGTGGGAGCTAAGCAGAGGCTGGTGAATTAAGGAACTTTCAGGTTTACTTCTCAGTGTGTCTTTTCTCTGTTCCAAACCACAGTTGTGAATGGGAGAGTTCACATTCGCGACTGGAGAGAGGAGACGCTGTGGGAAACAAAGCAACCGGAAGCGAAACAGAGAGTGCTCTCCAAAGCCTGCAAAACCCGCCTCTGCTGGTTCTTCACGCATCACCCTGACGGCTGTGCTCTGTCCGCGGACTGCTGCCCATTTGCCCATGGGCCTGCGGAGCTGCGGCCACCCCGGACCACCCTGAGGAAGAAGATTCCATGAGCTGTGTCCTTGCCAGCCAAGTCCTGGTCAGTGGGGGCCAAACCAAGGAGAGCTTCCCCAGCAATCCTCAGTGCCGTGGTCTCTGCTCTGGCTGTGTTTCAGCCCACCTCCTCCCAGCTTTCTCTAGATCCTCACGCCGACGAACCATGTTTCATAAACATCACCCGTCAGAGAAGCCACAGTTACTCAGAAGCCCCCAGCTGGGTACCTGGCTTGTTTCAGATGCAGCCACTTGAAACGTGCACAGCATCTTCGTATCACAAAGATCGTGCATGGATCCTTACAGTGTCTCCTGGGGGAGAGCAGCCGGGGATGCCTTGCACAGGTCCCTCCCAGGGCGCTGTCCGACGCCTGCCCCGCCATGTCCACCTCTGTGAAGAGGTTGGGGCTCCCCAAGAAGCAAGACCGTATCTGCCAGCGTTTCTCACCACACTGGAGAGCAGCCACTCTGAAGCAGGGATCCACCAGACTGGTATTTTTAAAAAAGGTATAAGGCTTGCTCTGTTGAGGTTGTTTTTACAGTTACAGAGAATAAAACAAAACACCCATAATTTCCTCACATGGGCCACTCAAGTGGCATGAAAAAAAAAAAAATAGGTGAATTGTTGACAGGGCTTTAAAACTGTAAATATCCCAGACAATAGAAAGGTAAGACCTACACCTTCCTCCCTCCTCCACGAGACCCTCTCCCCAGAAATACTGCAGCAGTTCTTTTTAGTCTTTCTAGAAAAAAAAATCCTGATTCATTTCTCTTTTATTGAGAGATGGGGTCTTGATCTCTCGCCCAGGCTGGAGTGCAGTGACACGATCATAGCTCACTGCAGCTTTGAACTCCCGGGCTCCAGCCATCCTTCTGCCTCAGGCTGTCAAGTGGCTGGGACTGTAGATGCACGTCACCATGCCTGGCCAATGTTAGAGGCGGGGGTCTTGCTATGTTGCCCAGGCTGGCCTTGAACTCCTGGGCTCAAGCAGTCCTCCCACCTCAGCCTCCCAAAGTGCTGGCATGACAGCCATGAGCCATGGCATCTGGCCCTGATGTTTCTATTTAAAGTTATTTCTGTGGTTTTATACAAAAGGTCACATGCAGACCACACTGTTCTGCCATTGACTTTCTGCAGTGTACCCTGGTGCCTCTCCACTGGGTGTATCCACCTGGTTATTCACGGCCGCCGTGTGGCATTCCATGGCAGCGCCGCAGTCGTCACTCCTGAGCAGTGAGAATAAATGGGCATCTACTCTGAAGGCACCTCAGCTCTGCAGCACCCCAGGGCAGTGCTGCCACGGACCCAGACCCTGCCCTCTGAGTTCTGAGTCAGTCCCAGAGCCCAGAGCCCAGGCTGAGGATGTGCCAGCAGGTACCTGGCCCTGGAAGCGTCCACCCTTCGTCTTACTGGGAGACTGGCGCTCCGTGGCCCCTTGGGGCAGGCCCCAGTTGGTCGAGCTGCTGCAGCTCTGGCTAGTGAGGCACAAGGGAGCTCTGCTGGGGCCTCTGGGGTCTCCACACTGGGAAGTTCTCCCTGCAGGGGACACCTAATGTAGAAGCCCCGAGGTAGCAACCAGGAGCCTAGCACCGAGGGTGGTGGAGCAGGAAGATGGAAAGAACTCTCTTCCCAAAGGTGAGCCACAGAGCCGCACCCTCCCTCAGCCGCTGTGTTAGGCCCTGAGGCATCTTCCTGCCAAGCTGCACCAGGGTTTGCGGGTTTTGTTGCTCAGCATATCCAGGGTCACGTACTTCAGGACAAGTGACCTGATGCCCCTCGGCCTCCCAGCCCTGCAGCCTCGCTGGAGCTCTCCCTGCAGCAGGAAGGGCTGAGCCCAACCACAAAGGGGCTTGGGGCGACATCAAGGGATAGCAGAGCGGGGAGTGCAGGGAGCCCGGCCCAGAGGAGCAGCCCTGCCACCGCCTCCTGGAAGGGGCACACCTCCTGAGCTAAGCCCAGGACGCCACCCAAGCCTCAGGGCCTCCCAAGGTGTCCCCCAGGCCAGAGTGCACCGCCTCTGCCAGGCCCAGGATAGCTCCAGGTTGCTGGGCCCGTGTCTCCTCTCCCCTTCCCAGGTCTTTCCCAAGCCCAGAGCCCCTGCTTTAATTTTCCAGTGCGGGGAGACAGGAGAGTGGTCACAGAGCCTGGTTCTGCGCTCGGTGCGGCTGGACTCCAGACTTGGCTCCGGTGCTGCAGTCCTGGCGAGGGTGGTGGCCCTGGGGAAGACGAGCTCCCCCAACACTTGGCACAGCAGTTTCCAGTCATGAGCTGCAAGGACACAGTCTCAAAGGAGCATCAGATGGGGCTGGGTGCGTGTGGGGTGGCCCTGGCTCTCCCAGATGGGGTCCTGCCAGGCCAAGAACTGTGCTAAGTAGGGCCCACCATGGCCATAGGCCCCTCTGTGTCACCTGGCATAATCAGCTGGTAGAAACGGCCCTTGGTGACCACATCACCTGACCTGACCTCCAGGTTCTAGGTACCGTTTCTTACTACCCCCCAGCACCACTGTGCCCCTGTCCACACGTCATGTGACTGGGGGTCCGGCACGGTTACCTTGCAGCAATGAACGATGCATCTGTGGATGAAGGTGGGCAGATAGAGGTTTGGCGGGGGATGGTGTGGGGCACTGATCATGGCAGCCTGGCTGTGGCCAGCCCCAAGGGCTTCCCAGTGACTTCTCAGAGCCTGAGTAGGTATCCCCTGGACAGGTGGGATTGAGGGAATGCCACAAAGGTGGGCAGGAGGGGGAATCTCGCCAGGAGTACAGCGCGTCTCCACTTATTTCCAGACTAGTGCCAGGCAGGCCCTAGGTCTCACTGGCTGAGAGGCAGCCTCTGTCCCCCGGCGCCCGAACTTGCCCCATCTGCTGCAGAGGAGACCCACCTGTGGTGAGCATTGTGGTCTTGGGGCCTGCAGGCGCCCTAGTGGAGTTACCATGGTGACCGCAGCCCCTTGGACTGGTGCTGGGGATTCAGACTCCAGGTTGCACAGGCCTTGGCTCATGGCATGGCCAGGCTCTGGGGTCTGTCCTAGAGCTTGGGGTTGGCAGGGCAAGCTTCCTGGAGGAGGGGCTGAGGCTGCGTATTTTTCCTCTCATCCTGCTGTCCGCTGGGGCTACTCTCCAGGGCCACAACTGTTCACAGAACGAGGAACCCGGGCCTCGTGCAGAAGAGCCTTGTGTGGGTGAGAGTCCCAGGGAAGAGGCCGAGCCCTCTGCCGACTTGCCGCAGCTCATTTCTGCCTGACCCTTCCTTGTTGCTGGTTTTGCTCAGAAAACTGTATTGTGGACCTCATCGTTCTGGGAAAAGGTGGTTCATGAGAAAGCACAGTCATGTGTCACTTACCAGTGCAGATGCATTCTGAGAAATGCGTTGTTAGGTGATTTCATCATCCTGCCACATGAGAGTGTGCCCCATGCTCCCAGATGAGACAGGCTGCCCCACACCCAGACTATGGGGGACGACCTCTCACTCTCGGAACACACGCCTACACGGCTCATTGACTGTGCCGAATGCTGTACAGTTGTAACGCGATGATAAGTGTCTGTGCAGCTAAACGTAGAAAAGGTACAGTGAAAATATGATGTAAAAGAGAAAACATGCTTCAGCTGTGGAGGACACTCACCCTGATTGGGGCCTGTGGACAAGGCTGTGGGTGTCCGTGAGGGAGGGGGGTGCCTCTGAGGCCCTGCTGCAGGCTGGATGAACAGTACACTTAGGCCACACTCAGTTTATACTAAAAAATCCCTTCAGTAACACATTCACCTGAGCCTATTTCTAACTTTTTAATTTTATGAACTTTAAAAACATTTTTTACTCTTTTGCAATAACACTTAGCTTAAAACACACATTGTACAGCTGTATAAAAATGTTTTTCCTTTTTCTTTTTTTTGAGACGGGGTCTTGTTGTGTTGCCCAGGTTAGAGTGTAGTGGCGCCATCTCAGCTCACTACAGTAAGCCTCAGCCTCCTGGGCTTAACTGATCTCCTGCCTCAGCCCAAGTAGCTGGGACCACAGGCACGCGCCACCATGTTGCCCAGACTGGTCTTGAACTCCCAGACTTAAGCGATCCTCCTGTTAGGGGTGGCGAATATCCCAGCTGTCAGTGGCGAATTTAATGAATCTGCAGCAGCCTCAGCTCTTGCCTCCTTGGAAGAAAGAATTCATCTGAAGGGCATAAGGCAGAAAAAGGAGACTGAGGCAAGTTTCCGAGTGGGAGTAGAAGTGTATTAAAAAGCTTCAGAGCAGGAAAGAAAAGAAAGTACCCTTGGAAGAGACCCAAGCATGCACTCTGGAGGTCAAGTGCAGCATTTGACCTTTTGATTTGGGGTTTTATATGTTGGCATACTTCTGGGGTCTTGTGTCCGTTTTCCTGTGATGCTTACCTTAGGGTGGGCTACCTGCATGCACGGTGCCCTCCTTGCACTCAGGATGTGAGCATTCACAGTGTGTTTGAAAAGTTGTATGTGTGTTCACCTGAGGCTGCTTCCCTTTTCCGGTAGGATGCCCCCAGAAGGTCATGCTCTGCCATTTTGTCTCCTAATGCGCATGCTCTAGCCCACTCACCCAATTCCTGAGACTTTACTGGAAGCCATTAGTGACCAATTTCAAGTAACTTTATCTGTTGGGAAATTGCCTCTCCCTGGCGCGTGCGACCAATGATCGTTTTTAGAGAGGCAGAGTGACAACTGCAGGACCATCACCTTGAGGACTGAACTGATTGTTTATCTCGCCCAAATTCCTGTCTAAGGGGTCTGGGGAGTCCTGCCCTGCAAATCATAAATTCTCATCAGATGGGTTTTATTTAACCCTGTATATTATGACCTACTTTCCAACCTGACTCTGGCATAACATTACAAGTCAAGGAAGAAAAATCAAAGTAGTTTACCTCAAAATGTGTTTCTTTGCCATATTTTGAAATGGCCCTACAAAGCTGTTCTGTGTGTGTGTTGGGGGGGGCGGAATTTGCATCTGTAAAGAATCTCTGTTAACATAGCTAGATCTTTTTCTTCCAGACCCTCCCAATCCTAAAGAGATTAAAAGTCTAGCACCCTTTGAAAGGTCTGAATAGGAAACATTTGTCATCTATTGTCTCTAAGGGCAGCGACTATAAGACTTCAAAGAACTTTGGTCTCCACAATCTTTGTCTTAACCTGAACACTCCCTTTCTATCAATCAGGTCTTCAGACAAACTCAACCATTTGTCAACCAGAAAATGTTTAAATTCACCAATTCCCTCCCCCGCTCCAACGTTTGAGTTGTCCTGCCTTTCGGTATGAAACGAATGTATTTCTTTCTTTTTTTTTTTTTTGAGACGGAGTCTCGCTCTGTCGCCCAGGCTGGAGTGCAGTGGCACGATCTCGGCTCACTGCAAGCTCTACCTCCTGGGTTCAAGCCATTCTCCTGCCCCAGCCTCCCGAGTAACTGGGACCACAGGCGCCCACCACCACACGTGGCTAATTTTTTGTATTTTAGAAGAGACGGGGTTTCACCATGTTAGGATGGTCTCTATCTCCTGACCTCATGATCCGCCTACCTCGACCTCTCAAAGTGCTGGGATTACAGGCGTGAGCCACCGC